CTGCTCCTTTGTCTTAGAGCCTTTGTAATTTGGAGCTGCGTGTGTCTAAGAAAGGAAAAATCGCAGAAAATCTTGCATACACAATTAAAGTTTGTTTATTGATGATATCTTGAGGTTATCTTGAGATGATTTCGGGGCTTTTTAGTGTCCCCGCGGCCCGGTCCTCGACCAGGCCTCCACCCACAGGAAGTAGCCCTTGACAGCTGACTAACACCCAGGTACCTATTTTACTGCTAGGTAACAGGGGCATAGAGTGAAAGAAACTCTGCCCATTGTTTCTCGCCGGCGCCTTGGATAGAATCCGGGACCACAGGATCACAAGTCCAGTGTGCTGTCCGCTCGGCCGTCCGGCTCCCCTCAGATACTGAAAATATTTTTTTTTTGGCTGTTGAATTTAAAGCAAACGAGGAATAATTCTTGAGATGATGTATGTCTTACTCCCATACATAATTAAGTTTCCCTAAATAGTAACATCTTGCAATCTGTGGCGGCCTTATGACGAAAATGAAGGGATTGAATCTTACGCCACACACTCTACGGACACCAGAACCCACTTTTAACTTACTTGATGTAACCTAATTTGTTTTCACTCTAAAATATTGCACACAACCTCATAATGTTCTAATCCTTTGACAATTATTTGGTCAAACGTACAAAATTTGACGGTTAAACCTCAGAAAGTTATATTTTGTATTAGTGAATAACCCAAATAGCACACTTACAAGTTGGAAAAGTAACTTAAGTCTCTTATTGAAACTGCTCAAGCAGTCCTAGGCCTCATATACGCAATCTTAAAAGCAGTACATATATGTACTAGACTTGTATCTGTTTACGTTTGGGTTTTGGGTGTGCTTTTTGGGTCTCTGTACAACATTACGAACACAACTCATGGACAGTGTTGGCGCAACACACCTGTTTATTTAGAACTATCATGGTCGGAGGCCGGGCTGATCTCCAGTGTTGCTGTCACGTCCCAACTCTTCACAGATAATAGGCTTTACCGTTAAGACATAAACATAAATAAGCTTTAACTAATTGTTAAAAAGGTTGATATGCTCAACACATGTCTGAGATGACGGGGGATAATACATGTATACAGCTGGAGTATACAACTGATGCACACTTGAGCTAATGCAATGTATGAGGGTAATAGTGAGGATGATAACGAGACTCGAGGAGTGAGGATACATGTTATCTTCACGACCCCTTATCTCTGGTGGTGAGATAACGAGAGAAGTTTCGCAAGATGAAGATGTCTCTCTAGGTCATCTCTTCCCCCCCCCCCGCTCTGTCCTTCCCTGTCCCCCCCTCCACCGTCCACCCTTCCCCACCCCCCCGCTACCAGTCACCCTCCCCCTCTCCCACGCCCCCTCCCCCCCCCCAGGACAGAGACAAAGAAAAAGAAGCAGTTGTGGCCCAGCAGAAAGCCAGCGATAATAGGCTCGGTGAGGAGCGAACAGGGTGGGGGGGGGGACGAGGGAGAGGGAGGGAGAGGGAGGGAGAGAAGCAGGAAGGAAAGGGAGAGTAGGACGCAGATGGCCCCTTGAGACCTTTTGTCCTGTGGGATTGTCAATAAAATCTAGAGGAGGCAAGTGTTGGGGCGCTTGTTGGGGTAACAAGCTGCCTCATTACGCCCACTGCTGCTGCCCTCCTGCTGCTGCTGCTGCCCTCCTGCTGCTGCTGCTGCCCTGCTGCTGCTGCTGCCCTCCTGCTGCTGCTGCTGCCCTCCTGCTGCCCTCCTGCTGCCCTCCTGCTGCTGCTGCTGCCCTCCTGCTGCTGCTGCCCTCCTGCTGCTGCTGCCCTCCTGCTGCTGCTGCTGCCCTCCTGCTGCTGCTGCTGCCCTCCTGCTGCTGCTGCCCTCCTGCTGCTGCTGCCCTCCTGCTGCCCTCCTGCTGCCCTCCTGCTGCTGCTGCTGCCCTCCTGCTGCTGCTGCCCTCCTGCTGCTGCTGCTGCCCTCCTGCTGCTGCTGCTGCCCTCCTGCTGCCCTCCTGCTGCTGCTGCCCCTCCTGCTGCCCTCCTGCTGCTGCCCATCCTGCTGCCCTCCTGCTGCTGCCCCTCCTGCTGCTGCCCCTCCTGCTACTGCCCCTCCTGCTGCTGCCCCTCCTGCTGCTGCCCCTCCTGCTGCTGCCCCTCCTGCTGCTGCCCCTCCTGCTGCCCTCCTGCTGCTGCTACTGGTGTTAGTTCTCCCTGCTGCTGCTGCTGCTGCTGCTGCTGTTGCTGCTGCTCCTGGTGCTGGTGCTGTTCCGGCTGCTGCTACATTTGAAAACAGAGGAGGAGAACACCTAACCTTTTCAAACCTCTTGAACAGGGTAGAGTAACCTTTGATAATGGTCACTATATTCACCTTCATGGTACAATGTTCACCTTCATGGTACAATGTTCACCGTCATGGTACAATGTTCACCTTCATGGTACAATGTTCACCTTCATGGTACAATGTTCACCTTCATGGTACAATGTTCACCGTCATGGTACAATGTTCACCTCCATGGTACAATGT